ATTATTATTATTATTATTATTATTATTATTAATAATATTATTATTATTAATTATTATCACTGTTATTACTCTTATTGTTATTACTGCTATCTTTATCATTATCATTATTATCAATTAATTATTATTATACAGAAATAATGATTGATATTGTTCCATTTGAGAGAAAGGGAGAGGAAGGACAAGGTAAGTTGCGAGATGAAGGGTAGCAATAAAAAGGTAATTAGCCGATTGAAATGTTACAAACAAAATGATGTCACAATTATCAGTAATTGAAAATTTCCTCAGACCTGTCTGAAATTTGCATAATAATAGTTTATTGACGGAGACAGTCATCCTTTGTTATCCATTTTCTAGAATACAATGATTTGTTGTGTGAACTGGTAAAGATTTTTTGCCTTTTTTTGTTTCGAATTTTTTCTACATTAAAAATCGTCGATAAATGACAAAAATTATAAATGTGAAATTGAATTAATTATTAGATATTAAAATCTCAACAATTAAATATTATGGAAAGAATTCAAAAAAGGTTTTAAATCGTCGAATTTCTCAATTTTCGAAGTAACAAATGCCAAATATTGTGGAAAATTGAATGCTTCATCCATTCCTTCAATTAATTTTTCAATTTTCAATCATATCATTTTCGTACTTGCCGATTATCACTGATAACTAATACTATCTGTATTTAATTGTATATTTATTTACATATTTTTGTTATATATTTACTATTGCAGTTATTTAATTTAATTATTTTCTTTTTAAAATAATATTTTATGAAATCATTTCTGATTTGCTTTTTTTGTTCTCTTTTTTGCTATTATTTTAAAAATATTAATTTAAAATAAATGATCCATGGTGAAATCATCATTTGAAAGTTATACAAAAGCATTGTTATTTCCCGGAATTTAATGAGTCAGTATGTGTTCGCTGAGTAATTTGGAAATTTCCCAGGGAAAAATTATGATTATAATCTAGCGATAAATGTGTCATCAAAGCCTTTTGTGCTTTCATTCTATTAATAGCTATTGACAGTTTAATAGAGAAGCCAATAGAAACTAGTCTTTAACACCAATATCGTTTCAAAGTTCAGGAGTTCAGAACATTTAATGTGCTAATCTCTAGCAACATAAGTTCAGGACATTTGACCTGACTAGTTCAAGTTTACGTCAAGATGATATTTATAGTATCTCATGTTTAGAATGCCGGAATAATGAGCTTATTGAATGAAATTTGCTAATCACTTAGGATTATATTAGATGCTTAGTTTTAAATAATTAATCTGTTCTTTCATTAATTATATCAGAAACAGTTTGTTGGATATTTTAAACTTAATTGATATATTTGTGCCTAATTACGTCCACATAAGGCTATTTGTTCTCAAAATTTGGACTTTTGAAATATTTTTTTAATGTAATATTTTCAAGGGAAACAGTGAACTTTCTCTGCAATTAATTGTAATAAAGAACAATTTCCATTTCCAATTTTCTTTTCTTACTTAAAATTAATCATATGCAACAGTTTGTAATATAATGTAAAAAGTTTTGTATGTAAATGAAATTTTGAAAAATAAAATTTTATTCCTTTATAATTTAAATTTAGTCTGTGAAACATCCATTTTATTATTGTTGGAAAAGTAGCAAAAGTAATTACAATATTATTAGTTATTGCAATAAATTAATATTCCCACTGGCATTATCTACAATTCAAGCTAAATGTGTAACCAATAAATGAATAAATAAATACTAATTTACATTATTTTATATGAAATGCTCCCACAAAATACAATCACGCTTTAAACACACGCTTTTTTAGTAATATATTTCTAATTTAATTCCTTTCATAAATTAGAATTTAAAAAATTGAACTGATTTTTGAGAAAGGAAGAGAAAAAAGACTTTGTAATTTTTCTGACATCTAAAAGACGATGAAACGAATACATTTCTTAAAGATCATTGCAATTTGCATTGTGTATTTTTAAATGCTTTTTTCCTTTCAACAAAAATTGCTATTTACAAATTCAACAAAGAATTTTTGAAATTTCATTTTAAATTGCAAAATCTACATTGTTGCCCTCAGAGATTTATGTTAACCACTAACTAATTTGTTATCAATAGCATCATCATTTTGTGTCATTCAAATTTTTATTATTATTATTATTATTATTATTATTATTATTATTATTATTATTATTATTATTATTATTATTATTATTATTATTATTATTATTATTATTATTATTATTATTATTATTATTATTATTATTATTATTATTATTATTATTATTATTATTATTATTATTATTATTATTATTATTATTATTATTATTATTATTATT